AAAGCTGGGAAGAAAGAAGAACCTGTGTGGATTGGTCAATGCGCCTTTTCTTTTTTCCCCAATGTTAGAAAAAATTTACAGAAGCATTTAAGCAGATATCCCGTAAGGATAGAAAATGGTGGTCTGTTACATGGTAAAGAAAAAGGGGAACCACCGACCTTAGTAAATACAACATGGGAATTCTATTAAAACTTGTGTAATACTAAGCTAATATTTTGGCTATGCATAGACACAAGAATCATGATACCTGAGATATGATCGAGTCTACGACGAAACCACGTTTACAAAACAACCACAAAAAAAGTGCAAGACATTCTTTACAACTGATCGGTCAAAATTTCAAGAAATATGGCTTTGAGAATCATTTAAAATAATATGTTATCACGTCGAAGTCAATAAATGAACGAACGGGCTTTGATTACGCTCCCTATCCATAATGAAAAGTAGAGTTCATTGAAAATAAGCTAGGAGACTGAGAAAGTTGTGCACTCCAATACATTCACCTACACACATATTCTTATGTACAGCCCCTATGTCTTACTAAAATACATATTTCCTTGATTCAAAACAACATACAGTAGCTCAAATATAACATACATAAAGCCGGAATAGCTAAAACAGAATCACCTATTTATTACTAAGAAGCCTGAGATGTTCAAGTGTAAATATTGCTAACAATTGAATACTGAACTCGTTGCGGTTGTGGAATGAATTCGAGCCAATCAGATGGAGTATTTGGCAGAAGACCCATGGTATGTACCTAAAATTTTATTTCATAACAAGTCGGAGTCGAAGCAAACGAAAGTTTTTTGAGAAATCATGTAACACAACTCAATGATGAAACTCATTTGCCTTTTAGAAAAAAGTGCAAAGTTTGCCAGTCTCGACAATATAAAGGTATTTGTCTGTTAAGCAAGAGCAAAAAAGTACAGCGTACGTGAACTGAACAGTTCCACTATTCCTTGGGATCGTCCCGCATCTGTTTGCGAAAAGATGAAAAAAGAATTCAGTAAGATTGGTAAAAATCGTGCATTCTGTGCTATACTCGCGGGATTTGCGAAGTTCAAGTAAATAGAGATGAAGAGTTCGCATTATATGGTTAAACGCCTTGATTTCATGATGATTTTATGATGATATATTTTTTCAAAAATTGTTAAGACGAAGTGGAGAGTTATGATAACAAGTACTGGAATAAAAATCGAGCAAACCTTGTAGATAGCGAGAGCTATGGCACCCAAATTTCCAAGAATGAATATAATCTTGTGTACGATCATGTTTCCCTTATTTTGGTCCTAAATATTACAATTAAATGTTCCCCTTACCAGACAAAACCTTAGCAAACAATAAAAAGCGACCTCAAGTGGCTTAAACGTCGCATTTACAGCAAATAAGGCCTTCGCCGGACGCCACAACATCATTCCTACCATCATTATTGGGAAGATCGACACCTGCACAGGAATTTGTTCATATGGTTTTTTT